CACATGGCTATCCTTGCAGTGTTTGCAGTGGTGTGTGTTTCTATTATTCACGCCGTATTACCCGGAGCCTCGCTTCGGTGTTGGAGTTTCGTCACCAGTCTGTCACATTGAAAAATATTGAAATTGGTCTATTCCCAAGATTTGATTATTAATCTTACCTTCATTTACTTGTAAGTTAGGTAGGAAAAATTTGTGTTTGATCAAGATAACAATGTGTCTGGGTATTCTCATTATTTGTTTGCAAATCTATAGGAGAGTTTACATGATAATCACTTCCAGGAATTAAGAGTTAATTGATCACTTGTCTTCTAGGCTTGAAGAGTTGCATGTGATTGACATTGCATTTCTGCATGGCTGTCAGGTTCCCACAATTGTTTTCATTTACCAGGCAAGTAGTTTTCAAAATCAAGAGTTGTAGTTTATTCCTCTTTTATTCATAATATATCACTTTTATTAACCCTTTTCCATCCAAAAGACAAGTTTGGCAATAAAAGTTATAAAAGATCTTCTCAAGGATGGAATACTAGGTGCCTTAGGCCTAGTTTAAACGTCGCGCTACAGTCGAACTTAATTGCGGCAAATTTAATTCAAGGTCGCACAAGCAATTAAATTCGACGATAGCGCAACATCTAAAATGAATTAAATTTGTCTGGTAAATTAAATTTGTCCTTGACGTTTTATCAGTCTTGGTAAGACGGATAAAATATCAATGATGAGTCTTCAGTTTTAACGTCGCACTAGCGTCACGTCGAATGAAATGCATACATTTTCGTAATGTATTTCAATTTAGTTCAAAATGACACCTCTGACCAGAGGCACTGCATTTGGGAAGAGAATTAAATTCGATCATATTGATTTCGACGCATAAAACCACGCCACAATTTACGTCGACGGAACAACAAATTTAATGGAATTAAATTCGTCTGGATTAAATTCGACCGTAGCGCGACATATAAACTCGGCCTAAGAAATCTTGCTTCCAAAATCTTGGGACCCTCCCTCTTACCCAAGTAGCCTGAAGGCAGAGGTTAATGGCCCTGATCTGGTATCCAGGCTCTATCAGAGCTCAACTTCAATCAACCCATTTGTACTTATCAAGGATAAACTCTAGGTGGACAAAACCATTCAGCTGTTGGACATTTTCAACTGAAACTTTTGTATTTTTAGAGTTTATAGTGCCCAAGTAGACTTGTCTACCCATTTGGTGCCTATTTTTTCCACTGTTTTTCTTAGACAGATATCAATTACAAGCATAAATGATGTTTATTTTGGCAAAACAGCTAAAATGATCTTAAACATAATGACAGGATCCTCATGGACGCCATGTAAAAACTTATGAGATTGTACTGCGAGATAAAGAGTTCAGCAAGGGCCCTTGGAAGCAAGACAATGTGGAAGTAGAAGCTTCAAGAGTTATTGCAGGTAGTTACTGATTTAGGGATGTAAATTCTTCATAAGGAGAATCGCTGGATGCCTTGGGGCTCTTCTCTTGGAAATCTGGGGTGCAGCCTCCAAAAGGTTCTGTAAAAGGAAAGTTATACAAGTAGCACAAAGGCAGAAGTTAGACATGTACACCTGTGGCACACTAATTCTAGGCTTCTCTAGATCCCAGCCCTAGGTATAATTTTTAAAAAATAATGATTAACATCATTAATTTGTTCAGTTCCAGAACCTCTTGGAGGGGCACTAATCATTGGACAGGAATCTATAACATACCATAAAGGGGCTAATTATCACGCAATTGCTCCTCCAGCTCTGAAGGTAATTACAGACCCACTGGTAACTACATACTGTGAGGGCCTGTTTACATGGAGGTTGGGGACCCCAGTTAGGTGAGGTAACCCACAAAGATGGAATAATCCACCTGTCTAGTATATAATCTTTTATTAAATTTTTATCTTAATCATGGTTATGTGATAGGTCGGGAAACCTGCCAAGGTGGGTTACCTGGTCCGACAACTAGGGTAACTCTGTCAGACAGGGTTTCAATTTGCTACATTAATGTGTCAAGGTGGGGTAACCAGCCCAGATGGGATGGCGTTCACATTGAAAATGCAACGACAACCTCAAGAAATGTCAACCCAAGGATCCACGGGTTGAAAGATTGTATGTAAACATAGACTTTTTTTTAAATACTGGTTAGGTGAGCTACCTCACCTACCCAGGCTCCCCCACCTCCATGTAAACAGGCTCTATGCCTTGTCTACAGTACACCCAATGAAACACAAGAATTCAGAGCTTTAACCTCAAGATTTAAATCCCACACTTGTTTTACAGCAAAGCACTATAACTTGCTATGGGAAGATTGATGCTAATGGCTCAAGGTATCTCATGGGTGACATGAATGGCCGACTTTTCATGTTACTGCTGGAGAGGCAGGAACTGATGGATGGTAACATTGAGGTGAAAGATCTGAAACTGGAGCTTCTTGGAGAGGTATCGCTTAAGAATCCTTTTTTCTCTGTTATTCCACTCGAAATAAATGTTGCCTCACCAGTAATTTCTTTTATAATAATAAATGTACATAATTATAGCTAAATATCTAGGAGTAAGAGAACTCTTGCATACTTCAGTGAATCCTGTTTGGAGGAAAGGGGGCTTTAAGGTTTCACTACTAGCCCATTCAGGAGGAAATCTTCAGTCTGTCATAGTAACCAGGGTTCTTGTTAAGAGCCTGTAACCAGTTATTTTTAGCAACTGTTTATTATTAAGTAAATGTTACATGCTATTTCACTAAAACCCGGGACTGAAATATTTACCAAAGTTATCCTATGATCTTTTCAAATACTTGGAAAAATATTAATAGCCTCCTGCCAGCCAATATTGTGGAGATATCTATCATGTTAATGGTTTGGAAATAAATCATTTGTTGAAGAAATCCCACTTGTTTCGACCAAATTCATTCCTTGTCGTCACCTCATAAATTGACCTCTGCCATGTTTTCTTTCCATTCTTCTCACAACCAAACGATAAGGCACAGCATTCAATGAGAAACATCACAGTTCACAAGTTGGTGTCCACACACTCCTGGAATGGAGGAAGGTTACGAAGTTACCTACTATTTCTTATTTTTCACCCCCTATGGAAAAACTCAGTAAGAATCCTGATTAAGGGACCTTGTTTACAGGAACTACCTGTAAAGTTGTCTTTTAGAACTTCCTTCCCTCCTCTCTCCTCGCTCCTCTCTTTCCCAAATAGATTGCTTGTTAGACTTGGCAATAAAACATTTTTTTCTTAATTAGACTACTATTGCACTCTGTCTCACATACTTGGACAATGGAGTGGTATTTATTGGTTCAGCACTGGGAGACTCACAACTTGTCAAGGTATAATGTAATTATTACTGGTACAATCAGCTAGTATGCCATGCAATTAAGTCATCTAAGCATCAGTCAGTTGGTCAGTCAGTCAATCAGCCTGTCAGTCAGTCAGCCAGCCTGTCAGTCAGTCAGCCTGTCAGTCAGCCAGCCTGTCAGTCAGCCAGCCTGTCAGTCAGCCAGCCTGTCAGTCAGCCAGCCTGTCAGTCAGCCAGCCTGTCAGTCAGTCAGCCAGCCAGCCTGTCAGCCAGCCAGCCAGCCTGTCAGCCAGCCTTTCAGTCAGCCAGCCTGTCAGTCAGCCAGCCTGTCAGTCAGCCAGCCTGTCAGTCAGCCAGCCTGTCAGTCAGCCAGCCTGTCAGCCAGCCAGTCAGCCAGCCAGTCAGTCAGCCAGCCGGTCAGCCAGCCAGCCAGCCAGCCAGTCAGCCAGCCAGCCAGCCAGCCAG